AAAAGGCAAGGATGATAAATAGGAATAAAGGAGGCAGAAACAGTCTTTGAGTCTTCATTTTCTTTTAGCCATATAGATATTGCTAGCTACAAAAGGGAATTTTGTTTCTTAAAGTGATTAGTTTGTTTCAAGCATAGGTTTAGGAATAGTCTGTTGTAAAACCAGACAAGTCAGAAGGGTAATTTCAAACTGTAATACATGTATTTAGTTTTTAAGAGCATTTAAACCTCGGGTTTTGAATATGCATCAAAACTTTCAAAGAAAATTATCTACTTGCAGCTTACTCTTCTTCCTTTGGATGATAATGGTGTATTTCTTCTTGAGTTTTAAAATATTTCTATTGTTTTAAGCGCCAATCTGTTGGATATGGGCTGTTTCTTGTAAGAATATAGACAAGTAATTTGTTTTGTTGGGGATACAATGGATGCTAAATATCTAAAAATGTTTCTTGAAATCAGTGTAGAATTGATGTAATTCAATTCCATAAACCTGCAATATTAATGTAATGCCAGATATTTTAGTTTGGTCAGAGTGATGCTGGGTTGCATTAAAGCTAGCATGAGGATACATGCATTGTTTTTGACAAAGAAAATACAGAAAATGCTACTGGAATCAATTCTCATTATTATTTTTGCATAACTGCACTGGAGTGGACTAAAAAACTAAAGTTTATTTCACTTTTGCTAAGTCAGGTAGAACACCCCCACACACCACCACGATTATTGCTCTAATTCTAAAATGAATAAAACCTGTTATAGGTTTTTAGTGCTTCAGAAAATGTTTTCAAGGTTTGTCATTGTTAAACCAGTGATTGGGATATTTGAAAATATGAGAGAAAATATGAAAATATGTGAGAAAAAACAGGAATAGGTGACTTTTTTCACTAAATTTTCACTTTATATCAGTGTTTTCTACTGCTTCAAAAAATGAGTAAGATAGTGATTAAAAAGTGTAACATCCTGTATGCAGGATTTGGTGGGGTTTATGCTAATCAGGATAGACTTGTAGAGAAACATATTTGTCAGACCAGTACTTGAGTACAGTGAATTAAGGAAAGATACTTCCTAAATTTGGAATTCACATGCTTTACTTGTTTTGATTTGTTGTTACATTGGCTATATTGTTTACCTGGATTGCTGAGCAGTAAACATTTGATTCATAAGAATATCCTTAGAACTAGGAGACTTAACAAAGCAGCTGCATTGACAGATTCCAGAGTTGCTGTACATGCTTTTAGTATCAAAGATTAAGGTAAGCAGATAATGATGCCTCTCTTTGTTTAGTTTTTAAACACAGATTAATAATCTGTTATTTCCAGGGACTATAGGAAAGGTTTGACAGATTACTTAAACAAGCCATAGGGGTTCAGATATATGCAGCTAACGTTATGTAGTAGTCTATGTAAAAAAAAAAAAAAAAAAAAAAAAAAAAAAAAAAAAAAAAGTATAAATTATTAAATTCTAGGAATCATTTTTTCTTAGGCAAAGCTTAGTTTTGTTAGCCCAAAGATGAAAGATATATTATCTAAATTTTAATAATTTTAAATACTTTATTTTTTGTGTAGATGTTACATCTAAATTCAGACTAGAATTATTGAAAACATGAATAGTTGACTAGTATTCGATGTTTAATAAAGTTAAATTCAGAGCACATATTAAGAACAGGAAAGAAAATTTTTATGTTTATGGTGCCAATTAAAGCCAAAGTCTATCTCAAACATACATACCATGAAATTCATTGCAGTCAATATGGTGTTTGTCAGTGCAGAACCACACTGATTACTGAAATATAATTACTTTCGTGGAGGAATTTGGTTGTGGGAGAAGTATCTCATAAGATAGTGCCTTAATACTTCAACAGCATTAAAGTAGGGTGCTGTAGAAATGCTATTTATGAGCAATTATTTCTAATGCACTTTAAACTGTAATTGAATAAAAAGTTACTGCAATAGACTATTTTGAGAAATCTTTACTGTTGTGCAACATTTAATAATTAAATTTTGGATTTCGGTATTCTAGCATTTAAAAATTTTCTCATTTTCCAAGTAATATATATTTTCTAACGTTAGAAGAATTGTTTTATTACTACAATAATAGCTTCAGAGGATAACCTTTCCCAAAAGTTATGCATCTAGAGCAGCAATAGCAATATTACTGTTCATGTTCTACTTCAGTAGTCAGGTTTTTTTATTGCTTTCAACTTTTGCTAATTAATTTAAGATTTTTCTCTATACCTTGTGGCCCAAAATGTGAGATTTAAATCTTTAATCATTCCCTCATTCAAAAATAAAGTATTTTTAAAACTTGTAGAATTTTTTTGGTGCAAGTAATGACATACTTTTTATTGGTGGTATAAACCATTATTTTACTGAGAATCATTAGCTATTTAAAACTTTGTGCATAAATTAAAGAGGAGCTAAATGGATTTGCAGTTGTTGCCATTAGTAGCATTTTAGATTATACAGGCAATTATTGCGTTCATTATTGTAGAGCAGCCCCTTTGCAAAACTATTGTGGTTGTCTTAGACATTATGTACAAATTTTCCCTTGGAGATTAAAATTTCCAGTGGTGTGTTTAATTTTGTTACACAGTTGTTTCAAACAGAACAAATATTATGACAAGTAGAGGAAAATCTGCTTTTCTAATATGGGAAATAGGAATAAATGTGGAAAATTACTCCAATTCTTAACTCATCTATTTCTTATATTGTCAAAATTATTCTGGTTATGAATATTTTCAAAAGGAAAGAAATCGCTTTAAGTTGGTATGTTTTACTAATGCTTTGATAAAAACACAATGTAGTTAAAATGAAGTTTACCCACTTTTCCAATATGCAGGTGAATTTTAGAGAATGTCAGTAAATTTCTACATGAAATGTATCTGGATAATTCACAGTGTTTCATTAGATTGAGTGCAGAAGTTGTTTAAGTGGAAAGGCACAGAATTAAACTAATTAAGTACATTTCAGTACATTGTAGTAACTAATTTTTGAGGAATGGAGAATGCATTTCTATTAAAACTTTGTGTGCCTTCTTAAGTAGGGTTTTGCAATTGCCTTCACTTGCTAGTAAATGAAAATACTAAAATTGACTATGGCCAGTATTATGATCTATATGAAAACGGATGACATTATTAGTAACAAACCAAATGCTCTTGAGCAAGAGATTCATTGTGTGAAAAATTTTCATCATCAAGTTTTTTTATTCTCTTAATAACTCTCCAAATGCATTTTTGTTGGATTCCAAACTTCAGTTCACATCTGTCTTAATCAATTAGAAAGGTATTAATGCTTTGAATTAGCTGCGTATCAGTGTGCAGTGGACTAAATTTAATGTTTCTGTCCAAAAAGTGGCATTCTTTCCAAAGAAGCTCTTTATTCATTTCTATTCTGGGGTGGGGTTTTTACTGGGGGCGGAGGGGGGAGCTGAGGGGAGAGATAGGCTTTCACTACCATGATGCAGGAAAAAAAAGTGTGAGGTAGTGGTTATGCATATTGCAAGACAGTGATTCTTTATTTTATTACAAAAAAAGACCAACTCTAGAAGGCCAGATTAAATCATTCCTTTCACTTTTTAATGGGATTTGGATGAATAGAGTAAAATATGCACTTTGCATTCATTGATAGCATCTTTAGGTTGAGGTAATTGAGTCTTTTTTCCCTGACTGAATGAATAATGACTTCATCTGATCCTCAGCGAGGCCTGAAACTTAGGCTGCCTTTGTCAACGCAAAAAGATCTGGGCTTTGAAACATGCTCTACTTCCCTGGCTTAATTTTTCTTCATTTTAATCCAAAAACCTATTTTTCTCAATAATTCAAGCATAAACTATGTAGTAGTTGAAGCAGCGGAAATTGCAAGATATTTGTTCTCGTTGTGCTGCTTTTTAAATGCAGCTGATAAATCAGCCGCTGTGGTCTTCAGCTGCCTGGTTCTCTAGGGAAGGGAGAGCCCATGTATAAGCAAGATTGTTGGAATTTTTAAGAACTATATTTAAAGTGGTTCTTTTGCAAACTGTTTGTTATCTAAGGGAGTGTTATGTTTTACTGGTATTACTGGCAAGACTTGGAGATAAAAGGGGCATCTGTGACGGGGCCTAGGAAACTCTTACTGACATAATTTTCCCACATATTTTACTGACTACAAGAGCATCCCAAAAAGTGGAGTATAAATACTTAGCTTACAGCATACATTATTGAAATGGTGAGAGTCTTAGTTACATAGCTTAAAAATATTTTTTCATGAGAAAAAGTGGATGAAAGATAGCCTCTCAATGTTTTTGCTAAAATGTTTCTAAATACCTTTTTACTCATGCGAAGTTGAAGCTCTGTTTTACTAGTTTGATTTGAAAATGGATATTCCACTTGATTGTTGGGTTTTGTTATTATATTGAATAATTGAAAGCGTCGTACAATTAAAAAATATTTCTGTGCAATTAGTTCAGATTTACAGACCGGTATGGGAGTATCGTTACAATTTACAGTACACTAGTTATATGAATGAGAAGGTAGCTCTGTCACATTTATCCGTTGATTCTTGAATCGAACAGGATTTTGATCTTCTAGCAGTAAATGAGCAGTAGCTACCCTGCAAGTATAATACACAATGCCAGTATTTTTGCTGCGTGCATGACAAAAAAAATTGTTCCTGCTCATTTGTTCATCTTTAATTGTCATTTCTCCTTGCCCTCCTGTGTTCCTATTTTGGATCAGGAGATGGGGGAGGGATGTGTCAGATGTAAAGGCATTCAGAAGGCCTGCCTGGGACAGTTCACACTGGTTCTGGGAATTGTTATTGTCTTGTGAACAGGGAACAGCTACTGCATGCAAGTATTTGATGATGCAGTTGATGCATAATCAATTGAGTTATCAAAATGCAGTTAATTGTTAAGAGTGCATGGATTTTTAATAGGTAGGAATAAAGCCAATAATAGCTAATTATTTGCATTGCAAAAATGCCAATTTGAGCTCATGGCTAACTTGCTTTATACTTCTTCCTCTAGGTTGGCTTGCTGGACCTGGAGTTGAATCAACTGACCAAAGCCCTGTTTTTGGCTTTAGTTGCACTATCAGTTGTTATGGTAACCTTGCAAGGATTTGTAGGCCCATGGTATCGCAACCTTTTCCGGTTCCTCCTCCTGTTTTCCTATATCATCCCCATCAGGTATGTATAAGAATGAAAGAAAAACAAATGTCTAATTTCACTGAATGTGACTTTCTTGAAATTTATACTTGCTTCTCATTGCAAAGGAAATTGATCTTATCAGGAAGCTGAAGGAGAAGGTGCCAACAAATCTGCTGATTCTTGAAGGATCACTGTACAGAAAACAATACTGTTGTATTTTTTTTTGTATAATGTTCATCTTGCTGGAGTAATCAGGATATCTAATCCTTTACTAGCATAAATGTATTAATAAGGATACAATCTTTGTATATTTGAGAACGTGGTCATAGGAAATGTATTTGAATGAACTCTTAGGTGTATTTTGGAATTCTTATTTTTAATGCTTTAAATACTGAAAATGTTCAATTTCTTTGGCTAAAATACAGACTTTTTACTACAACAATGATTAATTTAAATGGAATGGCTGAATAATGTAGGTGCACTTCTACAGTGAGAGGACTTTTAACATGTGTAACCAAGTAGAGACCTGCCCTGAATTAATTAATTCATTAAGCATGAGTACTGTATATTCAAATTGCAGATAAACTGGAACAGGAAATAATATCTATGTGTGTAATCAAGTCTTCTGTGGACATAGAACTGAGAACAGTGACTCTGAAATGAATTTTTTTTTCCTTGAATGGATATTGCCTTTGCAGAATGGAAATACTCCCTCCTGTTAAAATATCCAGTGTTTAGATTAAGGTGATTGTTAATTTTAGATGCTCTCTGGAACTCCTCAGTTTTTGAGGCATGTCATTCACTAAGCCCAGTGGTAGCAGCAACTAAACTGTAAATAGGCTTAAGACCTATCCCCTCAGGTTTGCACACAATGTTTAAATCCATGTTGTGTAAGGAAAAAAAAAATCCAAACACTACAGGAGGGTTTCATTAGGCATTTTTATCTAAGCTTACATAATGTAGATGTTAATGTGTTCACATTTTTTAAGTACAGGTCTGTGTGAAGGAAAACGTATTATATTTGACCAGTTTGATACTCAGAAAGTATCTGTCTTAAGGTTTTATAATTTAAAGGACCTGTATTTTTATACTCCTTTTGTGTTGCAAGAGCAACTGATTCTCTTTGGAAGTTGAAGAAGAAGGTTCCAGCAAATCTGCTGGGGAGTTGAGGAGATCTCATTGTAGAAAGCAGTCATCTTAGACCAGTTTCCACTTCCTTTAACTGGCTCTTGTTTTTAATTTACATATTCATGTTTCTTTTATGGTATCTTTCTAAACTGTCATTGTCATAACTCCCTTACTGCTTGTATGATGCTGCTGTTCAGGTCATGTCATCATTTCCCTCGCGTGCACATAGTTATTGAGTATTAAGCAACTTATCCATATGAAGAGGCAAAAAATGCTGCATGTAAATGATAAGTCTACATATTGCTGAAAGATGCACTTAATCATCAAAGATATGTAGGGGAAGGGAAAAATGAGCTAAGAGTATAAAGGATCACTTGTCACTCACTGTGTTCTTCCACAATAAACATACTAAGCCAAAACTTATTAAAATAGTTAAAAGACAGATATATCTTTGTTACTGGATGCAAGAGGATTAAGAGCATATAGGTAGCATAAGTAAATTTGACTCTATTGACAGTTCGACATATGCCACTGAAAAACATGTTGATTGAGCAGCTCATTTTCAACTTCAGAGTTGTTTAGTGGACTTGTGGAATAGTTCTTATTGAAAAATAATTTCTAGGATATACCTAAACCCATTTTTCAAGTGCTTGTGGGAGATACTGTACAAAGCACAAGTATTAGAGAATGTGATTGGTTTAGTTCTGAGATGGACCATATAGTTACTCTATGGAAGATCAGACAGGAATCTATCAGAGAATGCTTTTCTCTCTAGAGGTTTATCTGTCTCTCTGCCAACTTTTCTTCAGTTCAAATCGTTCATATATATGGTCACTTCCCACACTGTTAGCAAAATAAAGTAACTCTAGTCATGCCAGTCTTCAGATATAACTACACTTCTCTCCCTCACTTCTGGATGTTAATCATGGAAATGACATACTCTTTAGGCTGTATTTGGAGTGTAAATTCTTGGAGATGAACATTACAAGGCTGATGACACAGAAGCACCAGGTGTTATGTCCTTTCATTATTTTAAAAATAGCTATATGGGGGAAATAATGAACTTTTCACAGGTAAAGGAAGTGGAACATGGGAGATTAGGATTGAGTGGTAGAGGCAAAGCATATCTGAACTCATGCACGCATTAAATGTGTTGATTGATGGTTTTAGAGAATTTGGGACGTTTATAAACATAGAGCTTTTTTGCAGTTCTGTTTGGCTTTTGATTTGCAGGGTAAGGGAAATTCCAGGTATGCAAAAAGAAACTAATTTTCCATGGTCAGACATGTTAGGTGAAGATCATCAGGGAGAGATAACCAACTGTTAGCAGAGTTTAACTGGTCTCTGTGCAGCCTCTCCAATAATTAAGAGGAAGAAGAGCTCTTTTTTTCTCTGGGGAGCAACTAGTTCCTCATGATTCAGTTGCATCCTAAATACTCCTCTAGATCAGTGTTGCTTCACTGTGAGGGGTGTTACTGTGGGGCATGTAAGACTTCAGAAGTATAAACATAAAGCATCTGTAAAAAACCACAACCAACCAACCAACCAAAACCCAAATAAACATCAGCACAGCCAAACAAAAAAGTACCCCAAGCACCAACACCCACACTCCCATGCCCCAACCCCCAAAAGCCCAGCCCACAACATTGCACACGTTCTGTAGTGTACAAGGAATCAAGCAAAATGGAGAAAAAGTAATAGTAAACAAACCTTGAAAGCTTAGCCCAGATTTTAATTGGTTGTGTTAGAACCAGTATGTGTAAAATGTTTTGAACAGCCCTGCACCCTGAGAAACATTTGGCCCTTAAAATTGACTCTTCTGTAACGGACATTTCTTTTTTCCCCTATGAAGGAGGCATAGCGCAGGGAACCTCCATAGGCACTCTGCCTCCCAACAAAGTTAATCTATTTGAATTTCTTAGAATTTATTGGGAAAGGAAGATAGAAAGTAAGTCCTTGACAGACTGTGCAGAACTAAATCTCTCTAGGATTATGCTCACCCGTTCTCTGAGTTTTTCCATGTTTCTCTGCATTCTTAGCCTTTTTTCTGCTTGGCTCTAGCCAGTTTGAGGTGCATTAATGCCTATCCATTGGTTCGTTCAATGTCACTGAGACCATTTCATTACTTGTTTTAAATAAAATCATTAGTCGAAATGCATTGTCCATTAGTTTACAAGATCTTGTCTATATCACCTAGTGCAGTTATTACTTAGCAGGCAGGGGGAGATTGTCTCCTCAGCTATGTCTATGCTGTTACTTTTTGTGATACCAGCATGGAAGTTCTTAGGCCTGAGATGTTTGAGGTTTTTTGTTTGCTTGTTTAAAAGAGTAAAGTCCTTTTGTTGAACAACTTGCATTTTTTTGGATTGTCTATTTTCTGAATGATAAAGGGCAGAGAACAAAAACAGTCATGCTAACGAGAAGTCAGCAGCTCAGATGGGGGAAGATGAGGTTAAAGCTTTTCCATCATTATGCTGTCTTTTCCTGGTTTACCCAGTTTATCACTGTGATTATAGATACATTCTTTTAAATTTTTTATCTCTTTAAAATCAGGCTTACATTTTTATCAGGAGATTTTAATTTCTTTTTGTGTAGAATTGAAGACATTTACCGTACACATTTAAAATTTTGATAGAAATGATGTAAGTCTTGAGGAGTTTTTCCTTCAATTTTTGCAGCTACTAATTTGATCAGTTCTTTTAATTTTAATTTTTTTTTTAAAAAAGCTGCCAGAGAGACAGTTACCAGTACTTGTATTTTTAAGTACAGGGGAACAGAAGAAACTTCAATCAACATGGGATGCAAGATACCCACTCTAAACTACTGAGCTGAAAAACTCAGTGTGTATATGGGTGCAGGAGGCATTACTGGCCTGTTAGAGAGCCTTGCCAAAAAGCAATTACATCCTTTTCCATGCCATTTAGCTGTAGCATCTCTTCAGATCACTTTTGAGCTGCTGTAGTGATCAGTTCAGAACTGACAGCCAATGCCAAAGAAAAGGCTAGCCTCGGGGATGGTAGTGCACCACCAAACTGGATCCCCTCCACCACCAAGTTATGGGACTTCCTTTATTCATTGTCCAGTCTTCTTCAACAACTTGAAAGACAAAGTGGTTGCACTTTGACTTGGGATGTTTTGGTTTTTGTTTTTTAAAAAAAAAAAATGTAGCCAGGAAAGTTTTTCAAGATAATTTAAGCTTAGCCAAGCAGTATTTGTTGAAATTACTGCCTTCTGTATACAGACGTGTGAATCCTGTAGCTGTACATGCTTCTGCTAAGCTGTTAAGAAATGTAAAGGATTTATAATAAAAGAATAAGGTATTGACTGGGGATCTGGTAAAAATGTGTATCATCCAGGCTCTATATTTAGTAGCAGTTCAGAGCTGGATTGACAGGGGCTTAATCAGCCATCTTTTTAGGAGGATCCTTTAGTTTTGTTGTACACTGAAGCTGAAATGTCTTTTGTCTTTTCCTTCAGACACCCTAAGGCTCCTGGGCACTGAGCCATTCTGCCAAAATAAGCTGTCCCAAACATCTGGAAAGAACTGCCTTGCACTTAAGTAGTAAAGTCTTGGGGCACTACCTGGCTCCTGGCTGCTTTTTTCTGGGCCTTTAAGAGGAGCATCTGAAGAAAATCCTTCAAGTTATGTCAGTTTATGTCTGTTTCCAGTGGGCAGTGAGGAAGACACTGCTAGGAAATCTTGTACATGAAATTAATAAATATTTAACTGAATCCCAGATCATACAAATAGGTATATTTGTGTATTCGCGAGATCCAGGGAACTCACACCTATGCAGGACTGTAATGGCTATCTAACAGCAGCAAGCAGCTATGCTGCTTTCAGTCATAGTGTAGTTTGTGCTGTCTTTGTTGGAGCTCTGATCTGTATAACATACACAGGTGAGAGTATC